TCTAAAAGTAGGGAGGTGGTCCTCCTGTGTTTCTCTGTGTATTGATGCTATTCCTTTGAAAAATGACCAAAAAAGTGGCAATTCAAATAGGACAGGATGGTTGCTTTCAGATATGTTAAGCTAGAATGTGGAAAAAGGAGGGTAAATTTGTTTATTTTTTGCAAAGGATTAGATCTACGCCCGTGGGTAAAATTAAAGGAAACATATGTAGACCAACATCTGGAACATGCCACTCTATAAAATGCAAATGGTTTTGTATAAGTGGAGATGTGGATCATAGGCTAGGTGAAAATGGGCAGAGATATTGCAGGTAAGCTTCTTAACATAATTTAGGAGGTTTAATTACACAATCTTTAAGGGCACATCAAAATCTAAGATTCTAATATTCACTGATTTTATCCTTGAGTCTTCAATTTATTATGAAATTTAAGGCATGTGGTACTACGCATACAGTGGATGCTTATAAGTATGTTTTAGTGTATGGAAAATAAAAAGACAATCTTGTTCAGTAGGGAAATATATAAATATAGATAAGCTATGAAAGTTTGGAGTAGTTATTCTATTATATTTGTTCAGAAGAGAAGAAAAAGTTTTACTTCTCTCAACACTATTTGTATTAATCTTGAAAGGAAATTCATAAATGAGTAAGATATATTGTAAAATCCTGGATCTAAAACAAACAAAAAACCTTCAAAACTACAGATTTAAAACATCATTAAATTAATACATTGTAAAAAGAAAATCTGCAACTTTAAATGAAAAATATCTGCAGGTTATGGAGAAACATAAAAAAATGGATAATGATAGCGAAAATTCAGAAGACCATCTGTTTAACCATGTTATATATATACCAGCAAAACAAACACAAATTACAGCTAAAATGTACAAATAAAAGATGGTGATCAAGAAAGAAAAACTGACTGTCATAGGATTGACTTACCGTATGAGATTTCAAAATGTATCCCAATACAAAACACAATAGCCAAAACCATATGAACAGAATAAAAATTCCAGAAATTGATTAAAATTATTTGCAGAAGTTAATATATAAAGAAGAAAATAAAACAAAATTGATACAACAGGAGGAAAAGAGTCACTACTAAATGATGTGGTAACATGCCTACCAGTAGTTATCACATCATACCTTTCAACAAGTTCTAGATTACTCAGATCGTTCACTGAATCACTTCATTTATTAATTTTAAAAAGAAAAGAATGAAATGGCTCCCCTCCCACCCCCTAGCTACGGGCTATTGAATAATCTAGCCCATAAATTTGGGGCTATTGAAGAAATGGATTTTATCATCAAAAATAATATTTTAAAATATAGTATTAAGTTATATAATGTCAAGCCTCACAAATAACCAGAAATTACAATTTTTCATCCAATGTGGCATGAAAGCAGTGAAAATATTTAAGGCTGGGAAGACTAGTTAAAAGGGTGCTTGTAGATACTGCTGGTGAGAATATCTATCATTAAAAAGAACCATCAAAATGTTCCTACCCACTCCAATGTTGGTTTCTAAATGCTATTGCCAATAAAAGAAACTAGCATTCCTTGGAAGTGGGTGAACCTAGGCCTGGGGCAAGGAAAATAGAGATAAGCCTAAAGTGCCTCATGGTGCCAGAGGGTGAGTGAGTGAGCAAAAGAAAGAAAGAAAGAAAGAAAGGGGTTGTAAATAGCCTGTGGCAGGGAAACCTGTCAAAAGGCCACTGAAACCAATCTGAAAGAGCTCCCAATGGCTACCTCTAGAACAATTTGAGCCTCAAATAAACAATAATAGTATTGGATTATAAACCAAAGAATAAAATAAGTATTCATGAGTCCACACTGATATAAACAAATAATTGTATACATAAATACATGGGAGAGAAGGGATAACTCTTCCTTATAAAATAATTCCACCTCTAGCAATCTAATTTAGTAGAAAATATCTGAGATGTAGTTAAAGACAGACGTTCAAAGATGTTTTTGTGTTAATTGCAGCATTACTATAATAATTAAATATCTAAAAAAGTGGTTTCTTTTTTGATGAATTAGTTTACAGTCATTATAATCTCATTTCCAGAGAATAATTATCAGCAAATATTCATAATACAATGATATGCAGGATATCAAGAACTACATCTATATTTATAATGTGTACTCCAGTCTGGTTAGTGTGTGTGTGTGTGCGTGCGTGTGTATAAACACAGGATATGTTTAAAATGTCTATGTCTAATTGAAATAAGAAAATAAAAATCATACATAATCCCATTTGTTTTTCTTCACAAATTTTCTAAATTACTATTTTTTCCAATAAAATTAAAAAATACAAGTAAATTGGAGTACATATCATCGATGAATGTATATCTCAAATAGCTTCATCAAAAATAGTTCCGGAGATAGTATAGGTAAATACATGACTTCAGGTTATTCATTTGCTTTATATTAGTTCAAAAAGCCACTGTTAATTTCTCTACTGCATTGCTTTATGTGACAAAAATCAGGGTAGAAACTAAAAGTGCTTTTTTATCAACTTCAGAAGACTTTAATAAAAATAATAATAAAAATAAAATATTATTATTTTTATTGAGTAAAAATAAGTATCAATATTTTGTTAAATAAAAGTAAATTTTTATTAAGTAATTGAGCTAATCAATTCCACTCCAACATCTAACATCCATAACATATTTTAAGTATACTTAAGCACACATTCATTTGTAAAACATCTATTTATATACGTTAAGCATCCTCTTTTACGTACCAATGTCCTCTCCAAAACATGCACTATATATACAATTGTCTAAACACTTTAAATGTCAACAAAAGTTCAACTTTAAATTTTTTGGCAATGTTAAATTAAATAATTTTCAGACCGAAGTATGTATTTTATTTTACACATTTAAATAGTGTCTTATCTCCTAAAAATGTTTATAACACAAAAAAGAATGGATGAAATAAAGATGGATAACAAAGTAAAAGTAATAAAATCGTTAGAGGGCACTATGTTGTAATCTGACTCTAATTCAATCTGGTTGTGAATTCTACATTGGCAGCAATTTCTATCTGGTTTCAGACTATATCCAAAAAATGTGTCACATTTAAATGAAAGCAATTCATCTAATTTTACAGATGACTCATCTACCAAATACTTTTACTTTTTAAAGTAATTTTGATCACATAAATACAATCTTCTGATAAAACACGAGATATGAATAAAATGTATAATTTCAAATATTTTGGAATTCCATTCTCGTCAATGAGAAGTTTTTAGGAACATCAAAGCAAAAAATTTAGCCAAATCCAGTATCCCTTATCTTATTTCTGCTAAAAAATATTATGCCTTGAAAACCATCAATGGACAGAATAAGTCACTAAAATGGATTCTGCTCCCTTAACTCATTTTCCAGAGCACAGCATAGTGTCTGGCTCACAGTTGATAGTCGATAAGTGTTCAATTAAAAAAATTGAAGTATACTATTTCTTTATGACATAAGTTATGACAAGCTTTCATTTTGATTCATTTAAAGTTATGGAACTGGACTAGATTCATTACCTAATAAACTGATATTATTATTATTATTTTTTTTAAAGATTTTATTTATTTATTTTTTTCCCCCCAAAGCCCCAGTAGATAGTTGTATGTCACAGCTGCACATCCTTCTAGTTGCTGTATGTGGGACGCGGCCTCAGCATAGCCGGAGAAGGGGTGTGTTGGTGTGCGCCCGGGATCCGAACCCGGGCCGCCAGCAGCGGAGCGCGAGCACTCAACCGCTAAGCCACGGGGCCGGCCCTAAACTGATATTATTAAAAAAGAAAATCCTCATATACAATTAGACCAAGTAGGTATGAACATAGAGAACATTAGTGTAAACTTTCCAGCTACGTTCCACAGAGCATGAGGACCATCTACAATAAAAACACTTTAGAATGTCATGGTTTACAAATATGATTTAGAAATGGTTCTACTGTTAATCAAGTGATGAAAGATTGATGTTTTGCATAATTAAACTCCTGATGAAAATGTGAGTAATGAAAAATCAGGAAAACAAATTTAGTTTCATAAGTGTCCATATTTTCTTAAGACTTATTTTCTTAAAGTGAAACGAAAAACAGATTTCAGAAGAAGAGGGTAGGGCAACACTGTTTATTCTCTCCAAATACTTAAAATATCTAGCAAAAGAGCTGGGACAACTCTAATAGCAGTTCTTACTACCATAAAGAAATGCAGATATTTGTCTTGGTTTTTATTGTCGAAATTAATCAAATTAACAACAAAAAAATTTTTTTAAAGCCATTTATAGGCACAACCGTTGTTAAAATTTTGATTATCATGTTTGCTAGTCAACCTTGTAATATGCTATACATTTGAAAGTTATTTGTCCATATACCTGTCTGTCTATCTAAAGACACACACATACACACTCACATGTGTATGCATATATACGCATGTGTGTGTATAGATCTATTCATGAAAATCCAGACTTACTAATAGGTCTTTGGAATAATGCACAAACATATTCTTCTTAAATGGAATAAAACCTTCTTCTATTTTTTTGAGATAATTCATAAAAATATTCCTCAGAATAAGGAAAAAGCATTTTATCATCTTGCATTCTTTTCAGGAATTATGATGAGGTACTGTGTCCTGATAACCCTCAAATTTTCTAAGAGTTTTAACAGCAGATGCTCGTTTTTCTTCCTAATAAAATTTTGGAGAAATGTGTAGAAGTAGATTAAACTATGTCAGACTCTTTAAAAGAAAACACTATTCTTCTCTCAAGAAGGTTTTTATGTAGCAAAAGAAAAAAAAAAATGAGCATTGCAAGCAGTTCTGAAAACAACTGAGAAGCAATTTGATAAATAGCCTTCCATCACCCAAGCCCGAGCAGTGGAAAAGCATGCTATCAGCACTTTCATCAAAGGCACTATTGACTCCTCTTTTCTATCTCATTTTATCATGACTTTCTCATTTTGTTTACTCAGTCAATGACTGGGAAAAAAAATGATTCCTTACCCCTTGGATGAGTTATGATGGAGTCCACTAAAGAAGGGTCCTTTTCTCCATTTTTGCTGCTGCTGCCGCCGCCTCCACTGCCACCATCTCTTTCAATCAGTTTATCCACCATAGCAATAACGCAGTTCAGGCTCTTCCCCACATTGGCCCACACCCTATCCTGAAAAGAGCATGAGTATCACTATACATTTTTGTTGCAAAAACAAGATAAGGCAAAACCTGATGAATACCTTTTAGAGAAGCAGGTAGAGAAGCTATCGTAAGAAGGCAGACTGAGTGACTAGCTCTAATATTTCCATTAATTTGGCCAGACTATGGATATACAAGAAATCTATTTTCTCTTAATAAAGCAAAATTTATGTCATAAATCTTTTTATTTAGCCCCTTATTTTTTCTCTGTCATAAAGCAATGATGAACTACCATACAATATTAATCCATAATTGAACACAAATTATGACATTTTAAGCTGGAGATATCTATTTTCCTTATTAATATTTAGTAAGAAAGCAGAGACACTAATATTTTTAATGAACAGCCACTGCCTGCATTAGAAATTCTTGCTTTTCTTTTTATTGTAATAGGATATACATAGCATAAAGTTTGCCATTTTAACCATTCTTAACCATATAGTTCAGTGGCATTAAGTACATTCACGTCATTGTGCAGTCATCGCCACCATCCATCTCCAGAACTTTTTCATCTTCCCAAACTGAAATTTTATACCCTTTAAACATGAACTCCCCATTCTTCCCTCCCACAGCTCCTGGCTACTTTAAGTAACCATCATGCTACTTTCTGTCTCTATGAATTTGACTACTCTAGGTAGTAGATGTTCTTAAAGTGTGACCTTCAGATCACCTCTGATGGAATGATCTAGAGAATTAAAATGCAGGTCCTTGGGTGCCATCAAGTCAATCAGAACCATTGGGAAGAAGGCACTCTAAATTGAAATGCTGACACGTGACCCAAGTGCTTCTGACCACACTAAGTCTGAGAACTTCTACTCAATACTATATGCTTCAGCTATGCAATAAGTCATTTTGGCTGATTTTTTTCCTAAGAAGCAGCCCCTACCACTAAGGGACCTCTTTGTCACTAATCTTCCTTGTTCTGATTAGCATCTATTTTTGTTTAGGGCAATACATACCATTGAATTCTCCAATTCATAAAAATTTCTATTTTTAAATAAAAATTTTAAATATATTGGGCCAGCCCTAGTAGCCTAGTGGTTAAGTTCAGCGCACTCCGCTTCAGCGGCCTGGGTTCAGATCCTGGGTGCGGACCTACACCACTCGTCCATTAGCGACTATGCTGTTCTGGTGGCCCACATAAAAAAGAAAAAAACAGGAAGATTGGCAATGGATGTTAGCTGAGGTCGAATCTTCCTCAGAAAAAAAAAAAAAAATTTAAATATAGTCATCATTATTGTGATATCATCCTTGGCTTCCCTCTGGCTCCTCTTTCCACATCATTTACATGGAGGCACTGACTCCCCATCTGTGACAGTTAATTTTATGTATCAATTTGACTAGATCACAGGCTGCCCAGATATTTGGCTAAACATTACTTATGGGTGTGTTTGCGAGAGTGTTTCCAGCTAAAATTAGCATTTGAATTGGTGGACTCAGTAAAGCAGATTTGCCCTCCCCAGTGAGGGTGAGCATCATCCAATCCATTGAGGGCCCGAACAGAACAAAATGGTGGAGGAAAGAAAATCTGACCCTTCCTGCCTGATTGCTTGAGCTGAAACATCAGTCTTCTCCTGCCCTCAGTGCTCCTGGTTCTCAGGTTTTTAGTCCTGGACTGGAACCCACACCACTGGCTCCTTTGGTTCTCAGACCTTCAAACTCAGACTGAACTACAACACCAGCTTTCCTGGGTCTCCAGCTTGCAGATGGCAGATCATGGGACTTAGCCTCCAAAATTGTGTGAGCCAATTCCTTATAATTGGTTCTGTTTTTCTGGAGAACCCTGATTAATACACCATTGCATAAGAACCAAATGGATTTGTGATGCATTTCCTCATCTTGCCGTAAAGCAATCTTTTGGTAGATGCTTTCTCTGTAACAGAGCTATTGCAGGCACCGGGAGTAGCACTTAATGCAAAGATAATATGCAACTAAAATACTTCCTTAGTGGTTTATATATCTTTTCCCAAATGTATATTTTTTACCGAAGTTAATTTTGCTAGTTTATAAACATATAAACTAATTCAGGGTATGATAAATCTAAGAAGAAAGGATAATAGTTGAATTCAGGTTATTTGATGGTTGCTTGTAAAGACTAAGTTAATTGAATAATTCAACTACACTAAAACAAATATGGGAGTGTACTGACGTGAATATTCTAGCTGAAGGGGAAAAAGGGTTTAGTAGAAAAACAGCATATTCAAAGATAAAAAAGGTGAGAGGTTCACCTACGTGACACGCTACCTATGATACCTGAAAACCACCTCATTTCTGGGCAACTAACAGTTGGTTCATCTACAATTTAGAATGATAATTCATGCCCTGCCAACCTCACCACGCTGCAGTGGAGCCAAATGACATGGTTTCTATGAAAGTGCTTGGTAAAATTATTACAATTTGGCAAAATCACATCCTATCCTTGCTGGATTCCCTAAATGAATCAAGCTTGCTTTTTATCACCCTGTAATCTTGAGTGTGAAATATGCCATTAATCACAAATAATCATAACAATTTTTCCCCTAAAAGCAGATCTCTCCCTCCAAAGAATTAAAAGCACGTCCCTTCCGCTTTTAATTAAAAGGGAAATTTAGACACCAATCACATCCTTAGATTACATCATCCTCTGCCTGTTGTCGGAGAACATGAGGTGGAGGCACCGCTGAGCCATGAACCAGGTGACCTAACGAGGCTCAGCTCTTCCAGGAGGAAATGCTGGGGCTGACTTCTTGACATCACTCATACTGGAATTTGGTAAAAAGCTCACATTCCAGACCACAATAACAGACTAAACGGCCCCCATTCTGAATATGCCTTAATCACCACCACCAACCGCATCTTTAAAGGCTATTAAATTGAAAAATGAAGCAACTCTCCAACTAATACTGGAAATAAGCTCTGCTGTTGAGGGAAAAAGGGGGAAAGGATTGCTCTTAATTTTCCAGATTAGCTTTGTACATCAGGTAAGTTTTCAACTCTTTTCCTGCTGCCCACGTTGCTTGAGAGGAACTTTATATTTCATCAAAGGTCAAGTAGTATTGCGTGCTGCCTTTCTCATGTAAAGGAATATAAGGGACGGATCAACTGCCTTTAATCACATTTCTGAAGAGCCTGAACAGAAGGTTATTGAAAAGGATAATTTTATATTCTACACCTATATATTGTTCTTCTTCCTATACAGATACCTCGAGTTATAGGTTTCTACTGGTAGAGAAAGTAACCTTTGCAGACAGTAGAGAGATCTTTATTAGCATGAGGAGCAGAGCGAAGCATGTTCACTGACCAAGACCAACAACCATATAGTAAAGGGTTACGTGGTACACAGTAGAAAGACATTAAGTCTTTAAATGCTTCGAGGACACATGAGCTGGGAGGATGTTTGTCGGGGGTGAGAAATTGAGCAGTTTCTTATGTAACACTAATACACAATTCATGCATAATCAAATATTTTACTGAAGGCACACTCAGCAGCAGACCCTGAGCAGACTCATTCTATTCTTTATCTATCTTTCGGAGAGGAAATCCTGCCTGGCTGGTGGTGAGGAAACTCTAAATTTTGCTGGTCATTGCTTCCTTCTCTTTTATGGCATCTACAAAGTAGATTCAAGTTATTGATTCGCACTTCTGTCTTTACTACTAGATTATGAGTTATTTGCACTACATTGCACAAGGCCTGGAAGAAAGGCAGAGAGAGAGGGAGGGAGCAAAGGAGAGAGGTGACTTTAACCCCGAGACAGATTGAGGGCTGCTATTTATATTCACCAGTATACGAACATTAGCTGCTTTAACCTCAAAACCCACCAAATAAGTTAAATATTATTGACTCAGTTTTTAGAGATGAGGAGACTTCAGGTAAAAGATGTTGAATAACATTCAACATTAACACGCTATAACTGGAGTAGAAATTCCATTTGACTCCAAAGACTTGATTCTTCCCTATGATTTCCCACAGAATTGTGGCACACAGTAGGAATTCCTTTTCATGAAATCACCAGAACTCTGGGGACAAGCTAGAGAGAGGAAGGTCAGGAGAGGGAACCTGGGAAGGTTTAGGTAGAGGTGTGTGTTACCTCACAGGAGCAAGATTAGGTTTCAGCTATCTAAGACTTGAAAATGAGCCCAATGGCAGATTCTGGACCAAGAAATGATTCTACAAAAAGGACAAGACATTCACATGTACCATTAAGTGTGAAACAAAGAGTGCCATATAATCAGGATGGAGCAATCACTTGGCTAAAGGGTCAATCAGCTTGAGTCAAAGGACATTAGTGGCCAACATTAATAGAGACAGTGTCAGTATCAAGGCCCAAAATCCATTCATGTGACCGGTATATAAAACAAGGAATAGGTTTCAAGGAAGAAAGATGATAATTCAATTCCTAGGAGACTGGGGGACAAGATAACCATTCTGGAACTAGGATGCTAAAAATGAGTAGGCAAGATTCGTGAAGGGGAGCTTTGACTATCTGATTTCTCTCCTAAACAAGCCACGTTCCATAATATCTCTGTGAAAACATATACACAGAGGAAAATAACCAGCAACAATACATTCTTACTCTGATGATTTTTACTCACTAGGCCGGTCCACATGGGAAATTCTTTTTTCCTAGACGGCCAGTATGGTTGGGGCCTACTCCACTTTCTTGCATACTAAAATCATACGATTTGTTTCTGAATGCCCTTGTGAAGAGGAAAGGCTGGTTACAGAGGAGAAGACAATGAAGCACAAGAATGTGGCTGCAGCATCTGGTGCTTGCAGCCCCTCCGTTTTTCAGGCCAGGCAAGTATGAACAGCCTCCAGATCCTGTGTAGTTCGTTAGCCACAGGAGAGGTTTACAAACAAAACAACCACCTATCAGAAAAACAGATCGCTGGACCTTTTCCCCTGAAAATAGGACCCATTATTCTGCCATGTCTCCTGCTGTATGAAGGAAGCAATGAAAAATTAGTGGGCTAAAGTCTAACCTTGGTTAA